AGAAGTAGCTAAGATATTTTTAGTTAATCCTTTTGGAGAAAGGCTTGACCTTGCAACTTTTAGTCTTAGGCTTTAGGAAAATATCACATTTATCTGTGGATTATCAAAGGCTCAGTGTATTAATTTAATACATATAACTGAATATTAAGATGAAAGCAATTTGCCATTAACTGCCAGTGGCCTCATTTGTTACACTCGGGCCTATAGTGCCTTGAACCTCTGACCAGTTTTACACGGTCCGCAACACAGTACCAATGTGGTCACCAGCCAGACATCATACCTGCTCGTACATTCCCCTTGAGTCTGAGTCTTGGAAGGGGGTTTGCCCTGAGAGGACTTGATTGCTTGCCTTGATGGCTCCTTGGTGAACAACTTGCTTGTTCTTATAGTAGTCAATCAGACTGCCATTATTGTTGTGTTTTTTTCCTGCTGCTCTTTTTTCAAGAAGTGTCTTCTGTTCTTCTAGTTGCTCGAGGCTGGTCTGCTTATTCTTTCAAATGGGAATTTCCCACCTCAGAAGATTCTGGATGGGGTTCAGGATTCCACCTATGGTCTTATGCACTGCAAAGGCTTCACAGGAAGCCTCCTTCACTGGGCAAATTCTTGCCCCATTATAGGTATTCCAAACAGTTATAGACTGAAGATGGATTTACAAGCTTTCTATGGTAATGTTTTTGTCTATTCTTTTCTCTCCTCCTCAAGTGTCTATTTTACAATGGTAGTTGCCGGGGACCTGCCTCGACACGAGTGTTTGGTTCACAAGAAGGGGATATCTGGTGGCAATAGGGATAGCGAAAGAGAAGACACAGAGACGCAAAGAGAGAGACAAAGAGACACCCCGAAACCAGAGTGGATGCAGGACTGGCATCAGGCAGATCCTGCATTGCAAACATCTCAGCCATGAAGGCCATAATATCCTGCATAGTAAACATCTTGGCTAAACAGGCAGTATGGTTGCAATGCTGGACTGAGCCCCCTGCATGCTGTAACGCATACCTTGCCAGTTGTAATGCATGCTCTCCAAGCTGCAACGTACACCTGGGTCAGTCTGCGCCTCCGTTTTATTTAGGGGAGGAACTATACACAAAGCTGGGCGGGACTAAGACAAGGTACAGCTATCTCACGACTGCAACTTGGTTTCTCAGGCTTAATTAACATACCTTTTAGCACCTAGCCTCAAATGAGGGAAGGAAAAGGAGGATTGGGAGGATTCCCATTGTGTTGGCTGCCTGGGCCAGGTTTACAGGAAGAAGCAAGGCAATGAGGTGAATGGGCTGCACCTGGAAACACTTTAGGCAGGGCAGTTCTTTTGTCCTTAGAACAAAGACCCGGGGAGCCACCCAATTTACTTTGACTGAATTCTTTGAGGGAAACAGCCTAAGTGCCCACCAACTTTCTTCAGATTTTTTTTCTTTTTTCTGTTTGCTCTTCTATATTAGCAGTTTTGAGAGATTTGTCTTCCAGATCTCTGATTCTGGTTTCCATATCTTCAACTCTAATCCTTTGCCCCGTCAGTACATTGTCCACTACTGATACTGTATTATTATTCATTTGGAACTCTTTTTGGAGCTTTTGAATTGTTTCCAATGTTGTATGTATCTTATTATATTGCCCTTGTAACATTTTTCTGACTTCTTCCTTATTTTTTTCTATCTGTGTGGAGCATTTGGATGCACCTCAATATCATTCTTCTGAATTCCTTCTCAGGTAGTGCCAAAGTCTGCTCTCCTTTCAGTGGAAGTCTAAGTCTACCTCCAGCTCATTTGTCTCAGTTACTCTATTTTGTTTCTGGACATGTACCAAGATCTTCTGCTGTTTCTTGAACATTTTCAATAATTAGATGTGTGTTCAATAATTAGATGAATGTATGTTGATGTATTATTAAGCTTTCTGATTGCCTCCAAATAGATGTGATCAGGACATTGCCTTCCCTTTTCACTTTTCTTATTACTCAACTCAGAGTAATTATAGCAGGTGTTGGCTGTGTATCTGGTGTATAGCAGCTGGTATTAGCTCTTGCCTGGATGGTGAGATTTTATACAGTGTGATTGTAACTTGGCTATAGGACTGCTGAGAGCTGCTCCACTTCTGCCGTTTGACACAGTCCCGGAAAGAGGAGAAAACATCATGCACAGCAGATGATTCTCTGAAGGGGCACTCTCTATCTCCCTTTTAGGATGAATCTGATTCACTTGTGAGAATGTTGCACTGCCATATTCATGACTCTTACTGTGAGTTCTGTAGAGTTTAGGAAGAAACCGGTCTGGCAACAATTGTTTCAGCTTCACTGGATTAGATTCAAAAGGAATTGTATGAGCTACTCCCTCTCACAGAAAACCTGAGTACAAAGCAGCTGCATTTTTGAGATCACAGAAGCAGATAGAAGCTAAAGTGAAGCTGACCAACCCCTATAGACCTCACCTAAATCAATTACCAGCCAGAATCTACAAACCCCCACTACTACATACAGGAATATGTATTTGGGCAGAGAATGGTGAACATAAATGAAAGGTGGTCAAAACTTAATAATCTACCTTTCCTGTAGCAATTAACCAGGTTGGGCCTTTTAACATGCCTCACGGCCCCAAAAGAAACATAGGAACACTGTTGTTAAGCAATTTAATGAATACTTTAGAAAAACAAAATAATTAAATAGATGTTAGTAATGCTTTTACTATAGAAAATAGTAGTACCTTATGTAGGATAGAAGATTGATAATTAGCCAGTAGAAATAATAAAGCAGTGTAGGCATTGATGATTAATAGAAACTTTTATTAGTAAGAGGATGTAATCAGGGGTCTGGGAGATGGAAATGATTTGTGTAAGGTTTAACTTGATCTTTAGTAGGAATGAGAAGAAACAATGTATCACTTACATAGAAGAGGAGATGATGTCAGAAGAAAAATGTTTAATGAATAGGATATGGAAAGGTCAGGAGGGACATCATAGAAATACTTTTGTTAAGGTTTTATAATCACAGGGTGAAAGAATGTTATGATTAAAAATGTGTAACAATTCAAGGGAAAAATCAAGGTATCAAATCATTATGCATTGTGTAATTTTAAGTATAAATAAAGACTTGCTGAGCCGGGGCAGAGTGAGCTCCATCAGCCAACTATGCGGAGACTCCTCGATTACTTTCACTTTTGCCGATTCTGAGTCTCCTCTCGAGTCTCATGACCCTGCGAGAGGGGGACTCCCACATAGGACCACAATTGCTGTCTCATCTTGGGTAATGTTGGGAAAGAAAGAACTCCCCCCCACAGGTAAAACAACAACAACAACAACTAAAATAGATTGGATATAGCAGCCTATAGTCGAAAAGAAAAAGAAAAAACCCTGTAGCAAAATATATAAGTATAGTTTTAATGCCCCGCTCTCTGTTTCTTAACTTCAAGACCACCTGAGAAATTTCAAAATGTTACTATTGCGCCTATGACTTAATTCAAGATATAATTTTTGGCCAGTTTCCTATTTAGTCTGTCTTTCTCTCACTCCACAACTCCTTCAGGTGTTTCTCCAAGTAAGAAACTGATCAAACCTTCTGGGAGACTGTTCCATTTAAATCAGTTCCTGTTGGCTCCTCCCCCTTCAAAAATTCTGTGTGCAGTGGTTTTTGCTGATCAGATCCATGCACATGTGTAGATGGACCTCCAGGGGTGGGGTGGGGGGTGTCCACTTGCTCAGGTACCCCCTCTATTCACCAGAAAGAAGGTGCACAGACAGCGAGAGACCAGTGAACAGAAAAACAACATGGTCACACGTTTATCTCTGAGGATTTGTGAGAACTCTGTGCTGGGATTGCCCCTCTGATCCTGTACCTGGCTTGGTCATACATAGGACAGCCACTCTGGAGGCTGGTGGCTGCCACATATCAGAAAATAGCACCTGTCTTGCTTCTGCTATAAATCCCACTAGCAGTGAGCCTTCAATCTTTCTAAATATTCCTTTATATACTGTTCAGAGTTCTCAGACCATCCCCAGAACCTGCTTCATTAGGTACTATGTGTTATTGTTGGTGAAGATCTGCACCATGCTTCTCCCTAATCTGCCATCCACCCATCTGTTTTTACACCCCCGAGGATCTGTTCTTCTAAAAGACTGGACCATTTATCATGATTTGATCAGCCTGCTTTTCTCGCCAGTTTGTCATGATGTAAAGGTAAGAGGGGTGGGAATAAAGTGTCCTCATTGAATCCCAGTGAATGTTGCATTCACCCAGCTGATGCCAGGTTTCACTTAGGGAAGCTGCACTCCAGATTCACCTACCGGGGTTGGGTGGGAATTTGAACCCACTGCCATAGTTCTCAAGAATGTCCAAAGTCCATGCACCAAGCAGCACAGATTATGAATGGTCCATGATTTCCCTGAAGCCTCTTGCTCTAAGGACAGACTTCCTCTAGAGTTAGGGATCCCCTGGGGCATAAGAGCACTGAGGCCTGTCATGAATGTGCTTCCTATGGAGTCTGTGTCCGACTTCTACCAGCTTTGGGCCCAGCAATCCTACACACAGATCACATGCTAACTCAGATCTCCTGTCCTGGCCAGCAGCTCAGACTTACTGGGCTTCTATAATCTTATTTAAAAAATGTGCACAACACGACCACTGAGTTTAAGACTTTAATTTGGAGGACAATCACTGATGAGCAGAGTACTGATGTTAGGAAAGGACCCAATCCTCTGGACTTCACGCAGTTTGCCTAGTAGGATTCCTTATTTCATACAGAATTTCACACATTTTGACTTTAGCTTGCAGTCTATTTTTATTACTACCTTTTCCACCAATATTGCTTTATGGTATTTCTTCTTGTATTGGGTTAGTGGTTCTGATGTATCTTTCATCCCACGACTGCAGTTTTCTGGATGACTTTGACATTTGTAGCAACCCCAAAGAGGAATGCACCTATAAAGGCATACATACGAGCAAAGAGCAATCTCAAATACATAATGGAATCCTCATTATGTGCTATTGTCCTAAATCTTCTGGGAGGAGTTCCACTGTGTTCACTACCACCAGCACCAGGTTTTAAACACAGTGGCGGTTCCCAGCCTAGGTTACAATGACATTGTTTTTCATTGTTGCAGACGCCTCTAAAATTGCACTTCTTAGGGTAACAGTCATAATTCAATTCGGACAAAGTGCCATTGCAATAGCTACCAATAGTACAGAACTTTCCAGGAGCACAGGGGGTACCAGGTCTCACATGTCCAACATCAGATGTGTCTGTGGCACGGTGTTCATCCACTCCAAAACACTTCAAACCTAAAATGACAGACTGATGAAATGAAACATGTTCCTGCAAGCGGGGGATTCGAGTGACGTTGGTACACTGTAGTCTTCCACACATAATGTCTTCTTTACTGCAGGCCTCGTGCTTCAGAAGATGGTAAACTCTCCTGCAGTGTCCAAATCGGTTGCCTTTCATATTCACATTATAGCAGAAACTGTCAGCATTTACAGCATTTTCCCCAAAGATTTCTTTACAGTGCATGGAACGGTCAGTGCAGTTCCCTTGATAGCAGTAACCGTCTTCAGTGCATGGGGTTCCATCTTGCATGTAAAGATTGTCAGGACATCTATAGGATTCTCCGGTGCAGTACTCTGGAAGGTCACATACGTTTTGGATGTTTCTGCAGAGTGAGCCCATAGGGGTGTAGGTGCAGTTTGTACAGCATGGTTCGTCATTACAAACACTCCCAGGGCTCAAAAGACAGCTAGTCAAACAACACTCGTTGCTATAACACTGCTTTAAGGAACCACAATCACATCGCTCCATCCCCTCCTTTATACCATTTCCACAACGTATTGATACTCTGCTTAAATTATGACTCATAAGAAGTGGAGCAAATACACAAAACATTCCTACACCGTATAAATCTTGAAGGGTTGCCACAGAACAGTTGCTGAACACATCTGTCATAACAGGGTATCTACTCATGATGCAGGTAGCCCTTCTGTGACAGTAACACCGAGGAGATGTATCAAAGCTAAATCCAATACTTCTCCCAATTTGTAAGGAAGTGATGATAGCCAATATGAAAAAATGCCGCTCTAGGTAACCAATCTTGATTAGAGAAGAAGACGTGCACACGGAGTTCACTTCTGGTGAAAATTCAAGTTCATGAGGTTGGTCTTTTATAATTATATAAGCTATGTGTGGATTTACTGTTGGATACAGACTTGCTTTGTAATAATTTTTAAAGTCATTGCCTTTCATAGAGGTTGGATCCTTCTCATTATACATAATCGAACCAATTATACGGTGCCTCAAATCAAGATTATGATACAGTGTGTCAACTATATTAGCATGGTATAGCATAAAACAGAAAGCATTTGAATAATTCTGTAATACACCATACATTGATTGAGAAATCATAGGAAGGGCTTGCATTATACCTGTGTGGGATGCATAGAGAATACTAGAAATCCTCAAGCTTCCACTGGTGTACTCTTTAGGCAACGGGGGTTGTTTGTATCCTAGTCTATAGGTTGGCCCTATGACATTGGTGTCTGCTACTATCTCAGAAACAACATGTTCAAACAAGTGGGAATCCAACAGGGGCTTGATTTCATAGGCAAGATCATCCAACTTCATAATACCTTTGAGACCACCAGAGCAGGTATCAATGGTGACCATAGAGTAAGGAACCTCTTCAAGAAACCCCAGATAGTAGCAGTCCTTACGGATGTACGGATAGTCCACCTGCAAAGCTGCCTGATCATCCTGGGACATCACTGGCATATGTCTCGGCAAAAACAGTTTCTTGCGCCTCACATGGATGATGTGCCTCTGACCCCCAAAGTGCATGTTGTAGGAAAGCCACGTTGACTCCTGCACACCTTTGCCACGGGGTGTGTGCCTTCTGGGAATGACCACCTCAGAGGAGATGTAGCGCCATGATGGATGGCCTTGAGAACACTGAACTGGAGCCAGGAGTGCCCATAGCCCAAGCAGCGAAAGCACAACACTGGAAGTGGCCTCGTCCTCTGCTAGCCTCATGCTCACCCACAGACTTAATCATCCAGAGAGAACTTACAATTGGATTGTCCTCAATGAAGCTGGGTCTCAATCATCTACTGTGGCTCTTACCCTCTGTTACCTCCCCAGATAATAGAGAGGGGCTTCAGGGCTCTCAACATCCTACACCTGATTGGACCACTTGACTACTCAGGGGGAATTATGCAACAATCAAGGGTGTGACAGTGGGTGGGTCTGGTATCAGTGGGAGGGTCATGTCTACAGGTGCTAGCCTTGAGGTGATGAAATGGTTTCCACATGTAGATAGCAGTAGCACTCAGTCTAATGAGCCTCCAAGCAAGAGAGGCATCACTTCTCAGTCATGCACCAGCTCACAAACAAGCAGCTGTATTCTCAGGCTGATGTTCTGTGAGACAACAGATCCATGTCATGAGTCCTGGAGGAAGCCACACAAACTCTTCTTGCTCGACTAAATCAGAGTGTTTGCTCGGCCTTGTGTTGGCCCAGCCTCTGTGTGTTGGGCCAGGAGTAGCTGCACTTACCTGAGAAGGGACTGAAAGCTACAGAATGGTACCTGAGCCGAACTGGCCACACACTGCTCTGCATACCCAGAGACAGCAGGTTACAAGTCCTGTTTGGGTAGCCTCATATTGGGTGTCTGTTTCTCTATAAACCCAGGCATGCTATAAAGAATTGCACAATCCCTCTGGCAAGTCCCTTGAATTCACATATTCTGAATACAAAGATAAAAATCTCATCCTGAGAGGGAACAATCACTTAGTTGAGGGGCCAGCTGCAGTATGGAGACTTTACAGTAAAAACAACAGGGAAGGAGACTACAGAGGGTGATCTTCAAGGCAGGTTACCCTGGGTCAGACAGCACCGCACTGCTCAGTCGTCATCTATTCCTGCTGTGGTTGATGAAAGAATAGTCAACTGCTATATACCAAGTAGCGTAGTGGTTACGAATCGGGCTGCGAACCTTAAGGTTAGCGGTTCGAAACTACCAGGTGCTCCGCGGGAGAAAGATGAGGCTTTCTACTCCCGTAAAGATTTACACCCTCGGAAACCCTGTACAGGGTCGCTATGGGTCAGAACCGACTCGATGGCACATAACAACAACAATATACCAAGTCACCATGTGGTTAGGTCTCTGTTAGAGCACCTTGAATTCTTCCCTAACTATTGCACTGTCCTAAGTGACCCAGGAACCTGCGGGTGCAGCGGGCCTCAGGGCCGACCACACCCCGGCCAGCCGAGGGGGAGGGCTAACCGAGCAGTTCTCTGAGTCGGGATGATGGCCGCCAGCCCATGGGCACACGGGTGGGATGGCCTCTGTGACACGCCTCTGGCTTGCGCTGGCTCGGCTGCAGGCGGGATGCTTTATTTCTCATGATAATCAAGTTTATAATGCCAAAATCCAAAACCAGGCCTTATCAGCAGTTGTTATTGTTGTTGTTAGGTGCCATCGAGTCAGAACCGACTCATCGGGACTCTATGCACAGCAGAATGAAACACTGTCCGATCCTGGGCCAACCTCACTACTGTTGCCACACTTGAGTCCATCGATGCTGCCACCTGGCCAATCCATCTCGTTGGGGGTCTTCCTCTTTTTCTCTGACCCTCCACCTTACCCAGCATGATATCCTTCTCCAACGACTGTTCCCTCCTGTCAATATGTCCAAAGTAGGAGAGACGAAGCTTAGCCATCCTGGCCTCCAAGGAGCACTCTGGCTGCACTTCTTCCAAAACAGATCTATTGGTTCTTTTGGCAGTCCATGGCACTTTCAGTATTCTCCTCCAACACCACAACTCAAACACATCAATTCTTCTACGATCTTCCTTATTCACTGTCCAGCTTTCGCATCCATGTCTTGGTGCAGAGTTAACATACAGTTCATGCCTGAATCCCAGCCAAGGGAAAATGGAATTACCTGTGCCCATGGTTTATCAGCTGTGCAAACATGTCAGTGACTCTTATAGAGAGCTTGCACTGACTATTTAACCCATTCTACCCAAGCGTTCACAGCCCTATATTCTGTGTCCACTTCTAATGTATGTCTTTGGTCTTTTATCTCAATCACCTCTACTCTTTGGGTGTCATTCTTCAGGAAGTTGAGGAATTGGAACACCAGTCAACTCACGGGATCCTGTCTAAGGATGTGGATGCCCGCTTCATAGATCTGAATATCCACTCTCGACTCCCTATCATTTAAAACTGGGCACACATCTAATTTGATAGCTACATCTGCTATCAATCTGACTGACTAGTTGTAGGCAAAAGCCCTTTGCACCTCCCTCATGGTAATAATACATTTTAGCAATATTAGCTTCCAAACCCACCCCATCTGGCAGAGGTATGACAAGGCAGCCTCTCAGACATTTTTCAGGGTCACTTTGAGAGGCTCACTGGGTGAGGGGTGTATCTTTTCCCTTGCAGAGAATCTCCCTTAACCTGTCCTTTTACTGGAGTATAGTGAGTCCACCCCTTTTACGCAGTCTGGACGGTCATCTCAGTGGTCAGCAGCACTTGGTAAGGGCCCTGCCAGTTCGGTTGGAGTCTGTCCGCTTTCCAGGTCTTGATCAGCACCAAGTCTCCTGGTTGGAAGTGATGAATGGTAAACTCGAGGGGAGGGGTTTGGGCCGAATCCTTTTAGGCTGAGGGAGGGGCCAACACAGAGCTCCTCAGGAATTGATCTTTTGTTGCCATGGTGGGTAAGTCCGTGGCCCTGCCCAGGTAGGGGAGCCCAGACACTATTTCATAAGGGGACAACCCTAGACCCTCCTTGGGGCCATCCTGATTATGAGGAGAGCTATAGGAAGGGATTTAGTCCATGGCAATTTGTTGCAGACCGTGTAAGACTAGTCAGAGGTTCGAGGCCCTCTAGGGCCGAGTGTAACAAATGAGGCCACTGGCAGTTAATGGCAAATTGCTTTCATATTAATATTCAGGTATATATATTAAACTAATACACTGGAGCCTTTGGCAATCCACAGATAAATGGGGTATTTTCCTAAAGCCGAGACTGAAGGTTGTAAGGTTAAGCATTTCTCCAAAGGATTAACTAAAAATGTCTTAGCTACTTCACAGCTCTTTGTTCTATAGACAAAGAACCCATCCTCCCTAATCCTTTTCCAGGTGCAGCCCATTCACCTGGGCGTCTGGAGTCCTCCTGCAGACCTGGCTCAGGAAGCCAAAGCAGCAGGACTCCGCCCAAGCTTTTGTCTTTATCTCTCATCTTCCCCCAACTATGCTCAGGGGCTATAGATATGTTAATTGGGCCTGAGAATCCAAGTTGCTGGCCTGGGATTCGAACCAGGGAAGTACTATGTAAAGTCACCTGAATGTCTGGAAAAGTACTGATGTTAGCTGTACCTTGCCTAAGTCCCTCCCAGCTTGGTGTGAAACTCCTCCCCTGAATAAAGCAGAGGCCCGGGCCTCCCCAGGTGGCATTACTGGTTGGCAGGCATGGAGTAAAGATCAGTGCATTACGACTGGTAAGGCATGCGCTTCAGCATGCAGAGTGCACAGTCCAGCCTTGCAACCATACTGCCTGTTTAGCTAACATGTTCACTATGCAGGATATTACGGCCTTTGTGGCTGAGATGTTTGCAATGCAGGATCTGCCTGATGCCAGTCCAGCATTCACTCTGGTTTCGGAGTTTCTCTTTGTCTCTCTCTTTGTCTCCTTTGTCTCCTTTTGTGTATTCTGGATATATATGAATCGCCGTCAGGTATCCTCTCCTCGTGAACTGAACCCCAATGTCGAGGCGGGTCCCCGACAGCAATTTAGTTTCTAATATTAATTTTGTAACTTGCCATTTAAGAGTCTGATTCATTCTTTCTACTTTTCCAGAGGAAGCAGGGTGCCAGGGGTATGATAATCCCAGTTGACATCTAAATACTCCATAACTCCCTTCAACACTCTGGAAGTGAAGTGGCTCCCACTGTCTGAGTCAATATTTTCTACTAAACCAAACCTGGGTATAATTTGCTCTAGGGTTATTTTGATAACATCACTAGTGGTAGCAGAGGCTGAAGGAAAGGCCTCCACCCAGCCAGAAAGATGGTCTACTATCACCAGCAGATATTTCAATCTTCCTATGCAGGGCAACTCTCTAAAATCTACCTGAATGCTCTGAAATGGCCTCAATCCTGGAGGCCTTCCTCCTGTGGAATGTCTCCTGAGCACCCTCCTATCAACCTTCTGACAGGCTATGCAGCCCATAATACCTGCTTGGCAACAATGTAAATACCAGCACACCCATAGGTTCTTAACACAGCATCACACATAGCCTGCCGACCCCAATGACTCCCTTTATGCAGTATGCACAATAATTCTCTCTCATGATAGATTTGTTTATCATTTCTTTCCCATCTGGGAGTACCCACCGCCCATCCTCAGTCTGAGTGGCCCCAGTTTTAATTCACTCATCTTGCTCCATTGGAGTGAACTGGGGTCTTAGTGTCACCTCTGGATCACTGGGTATTAAACTGAGGAGTTGGGTCTCCCCCTCCAAAGAGGCCTGCTTGGCTGCTTCATCTGCAAGCTGATTACCAACAGCTTCCATATGATGTCCCTTGCTGACCGCTTACATGAACTACTACTATTTCCAGGGGGCGTAAGAGGCTTTATAAGACTTTATAGGACTAACCAGATTGCCATGAACTAATTCTTTTCCTTTGCTGTTCATAAGACCCCTCTCCCTCCAAATCATTCCAAATGTATGTATGATGCCCCAAGAGTACTTTGAATCCATGTAAACAGTGCCTTCCCGTCCCTCAAGAAGTTTTAAGGCTCGATCGAGAGCATAGAGTTCACAGGTTTGTGTTGACCAGTTATTAGGCAATCTCCCCTTTTCACAGATGGACTGATTCACCCCATTGACTATCACATAGCCATTATGTTTTTTCCTTAAATCACTAGGGAAGATCCATCTATAAACAGTTTGTCTCCCTCATGCAGAGGGATTTCCCTTAGGTCTTGTCTGATCTTAGTCTGGTAGTCAGTAATGTCTAG